GAGATCCTATAAAATATGTTTTAATTATTATTTTTGTATGTTTTAAGCATGATAAAATAAGAAATTTTATATAAGCAATCATATTAAATCGATATCAAAGTCAATAAATAATGTACAACCCAAAACAGACGGCCGAACTGACGTGACAATGACATTTGGCGCGCTAAACATGGCGGATTTTCGGCCTCATTAGACGGAGACGGAGACATTTACGTATATTCATGTTTCATTTTATGTACGCACTGAAATACTGTTATATTGTTTTCCTGCGAGTTAAAGTCCTGAGTAAGAACGAGATAGATATATGTTTATGTATGTGCCTTCAAAATGGGTGCTATTTATATAAGCAATTGTACGTATAGAACAATATGTCGTGTCCCTACTATATAGGTCTATGAGCAAACCTCAGTACCTTGCGTACCCAAAAGTGTAGCCGCTTTATGCGACGACGATGTAGTTTTGAAACTAATAAACATTTTAAATTAAACATATATCCATCTCTCTTACTCTAGTTCACTAGTTACGCGACGTATCGTTAGTTGGATAAAGATGGTAATATTACTTGAAGCAGAACCATTTATGTTGCCTGCTTATGAAATATTTCGCCAGAATATTTATTATTTAGGCGAAAATTAATAAATCAAATAATTTAAGTAAAATAATTTTGAATAAACTTAAATGAAGTTTTTTATTTTTATTGCTTAGATGGGTGGACGAGCTCAATATTAATAATAATACAAATAATTTATAATTGTGTAATAATTGTATTAGTGTTTTTTGCTTTTGAACCCATTATTCAAAGAATGGTGACTGAATCAATGTATGGCTGAAACTGTACAGATTTTCATGAAACTGTCTACAGTTTATCTAGGTTCTGGAATAGGACACAGTATATTTTTATCCTACGGAAACGGAGCCAAAGAGAGACTTTATTGTCTTTTTCTTTATTTTTCTACAGTTTGGAATACATAAGTGACATATTTATTTCGTGTAAATGTGGGATCATCCCGGGAAAATGCACGGATGAAGAGATTCGTTTAATGTTTACCGCATTATTTTTTTATTCAGACACATATTCAGAAACCATTGTGGTAACCAGAATCAACTTGATGATCTGCTTCGAAAATTTCTGGATTTTATTAATATAAAATTTTCCTATAGTCATTCGAAAACCAAAAGATGTTTTACTGGCAATACTGAACCTTAATTTCATAGCCTTTTCTTGATGATCTTTAAAATTACTTTTGTTTTATTAACAATCAAAATCAATACAGAATTGATAAAATTATGTGTGAAAAGTAATCCCGCTTGCCTTTTTGTGTATTTCCGACCTCGAAAGGCACTCTTTTGCCACACATTTGCCCATTTTTCAGGACTTTTGGACGACGGCACGCAACACTGAGCAAGTAATCACTACGTTAAAGCACGCAAGTAACGGAATGAACTATGTCGGGCATACGCCAAGTGTCTAATCTATGCATACGCCTGTGGGCTTATGTTGAGTGGTTACGCGTTGACGCGGTAACTACTCATCTAGTATATTTAAATCAATGGTCGAAACCTACCTTTAATGAAATTGGTTAATAGTCGGTATTCTGACGCTCTGCACTTCATAGGTATTAATAGAGAGTCGATCTATCAAAGGGTCGAAGTTGCATAACGTCCGTAGGAGATTACCCCACCGCTACCCTACACGTGACCCCTGGGTGGTGCTAATAGTGCAACAACCTGGCAACCGAACTGTCCTCCTGAGGATCTCCCGGTTCCAACTACACTGCGTCAATTATAAACCCTAATATGCCTGGATGCGCTCGAAGAAATGCAAGCACCAATCAGTGCCAAATGACTAAAGACATAGGACCTTCCGTTCGTGTCTGTTCTTTAAACATAGAAGGCATTACCCAGGCCAAAACTGAATGCATGCTCAGAATTGCCATAGATAATAAGATTGACATCATTCTGCTACAAGAGACCCACACTGCTGACCTCGCGCAACTCGCTAGAAGAGGAATCCCGGCTTCCGCATGATCTGCGCTACATTCCATCCCCAATACGGCACTGCCACATACATACGAGAGGCCCTGCTGCCTTCAGCTTCAATTATATGCACCTCCACAGACACCGAAAACATCGCTATGTCAACGATCCAAGTGGGAGAAATGATAGTTTGTAACCTGTACAAACCTCCGAATAGCACATGGCCCCAACCAGCACTTCCAAACTATGGGCACCCGTGCATCGTAGTAGGCGACTTTAATAGCCACCACACCAGCTGGGGATATAAAAATAATGATGCTAACGGAGAATCTGTTGTCAAGTGGGCAGATGAATCCAGCTACTTCCTGGTCCACAGTAACAAAGACAAAGGCACCTTCAAATCCGCACGCTGGGGTCGTGAATATAACCCGGACCTCGCCTTCGTCTCCTTGGACTGCAAACGCAGACCCCTCCAGGTGAACAGAACTGTACTACAAGACTTTCCACACAGCCAACACCGCCCAGTTCTTCTCGACATCGGCCTGAAAATACCTATCATACAATCATATCCCGCACCACGCTGGAACTTCACTAAAGCTGACTGGAAACGCTATACGAAGACACTCGATGATTCCATTAGGTGGATACCACCCCTTCGGGAAAACTATGAAAGATTCCTAAAGCTAGTACTTTCCACAGCTAAAAAATGCATTCCAAGGGGATACCGGAAGCAATATATACCATGCTGGACTACCAAAACTGAAGCTCTATGGCAAGAGTTCATAACCACTAGCGACCGGAATGTTGCTCACGAACTCATTGAGTCTCTCAATGAAGCACGACAAGCTAAATGGGAAAGCACAGTCCAAGATATGAACTTCACACACTCAAGCCGTAAAGCCTGGCACCTACTTAAACGCTTCACTTCTGGAACTACCGGCCAGAAGAGTGAACCAAAAGTATGCCCCAGTAAAATTGCGGATAGGATTGTAAAACTGTCTAAAGCACCCAGCCACAAAAAACACACCCGTGAGGTGCGTAAGGATCTTAAATCTCTTAAGACAGACACTGCTTCAGACCCTTATTTTAGCCGTCCAGTTACAGCAGACGAGATAACTGCCAGTATCAGAGCTATTAAGGGAAACAAAGCTTGTGGAGAAGACAAAATCTTTCCAGAGTTCATAAAACACAGTGGACCCCACACCCGTGTGTGGCTCGCGAAATTCCTCACGAATATCATTGACTCTGGAAAAATCCCACTTGCGATGAAACGGGCGAAGATAACGGCAATACTCAAACCTGGTAAGCCGGCTGACAGTGCAGATAGCTATCGCCCCATTGCCCTTTTGAGCGTAA